GCTGCCTCCCATTACAGCAATTTACTGCCAATCAGCTGATCCTTAGTATCGCACAATACCTGCAGTACAGGAACCTCTGTGCAAGTGAGAAGTTCCAACAAGAGCTGGAATACAGCAACTTGCACCACCGTCCCCCTGAAAAAGGGTGGTACTTTGGCACACTAGCATGTGCAGATCCATTACGTGTACTATGACTGCCAGTTCTGACTCCCAGTACCACAAAGGTCACAGCGTTCCACTGCACAAGCATGCCAGTCCCAGTGTAAGGATTTCAATCAAAGCTTAAGCCAATGTCAGTTGCTCCAACAGTTTATCCTTAAACCCTTTTTTCTTTTTTTTTTTTTTGAGTTGCTACTTTACAAAATACAGTCCTCAGCTAAGTATAAGCTTTACTGTCAAAGTGAAATCTCAGCCTCAGAGAAGTCACCAGCAAAAATTACTACTGCTTTTAATGAGCTCACATCCATATTTTGTTGTATGAGATTCACATGACAAAATGCAGACACCTACCATCTAGCTTCCCTTGATCATCAGTGAAGAAAAACGGACACTTTCAGACTCATCTTCTCCTAGAGAAGACACCTAAAATAGGTTGAGGTTGACTGACTTATACCCAAAAATGCTTTTTTACCTCCTCAGGCTGAAACAAAGATTTAAGTGACAAGCTCTATATTGCAGATATCTAAAATAAGCAGAAAGAAACCCACACAGAATTTTATTCTTGGTTTTCAGATGAAAACACAACTTGTGTAAATGAAACCAAGCATACCACATAATACAGACTGCTCTGCAGAAAAGACCACAATACATAGTTATTCATCACTCCTTCACCAGGAAGGCTCCAAATATTTAGATACCAGACAATGAGATGGAAAGTTGGAAATGTTAACTGTCCATATGACCAATGAGCTGAAATAAACTTTTCAAATAATTTGATCAGGTTCCCTGGAGATCTCGTAAGATTAGCACATTTTTGATACTGTAATAACTGATAATTGATTTTCTATTTGAATAAAGTTACTTCAGCTATTCTGTGTATTTTCTGCACTGTATCACTATACTTCAGTATCTCTTCACAGATTTAAAAAAAAAAATCACTCTTCCTAATTCCTGAGCTGTCCTCAAGAGTAGAGGAATTACCTTATGAACACGCATGAGGACTGTATAGGGTGTTGGGAGCTGTGAGAAGGCTCACAGCTTTAAGTGGGTACAGTATAAGCGTCATGAGTTGGATTGTATTCTTTATACTGAAATGACCCTTAACACAAGGGTCATTAAAAAAAAGCAAAATTTTTTAATTTTGCTTCTCTGCAGTTTCAACATCCTAATTGTACTCTTTGCTACAACAGGATATATTCACTGATTTATTCAACATCATCTCTTCCCTGATGCACCTTTGGTTCAACTACTTAAATAGGAGTTATATCCTCATTATGGATAACTTTCCTGTATTTCCCTCCAGCTTCAAGAATTTGTCTTCTTATTTTCCTCCTCATTTTCACCTTGCCGGCCAAAACTAACGTTCTATTTGTAATCTCTGAACTGGATTCCCAGGAACAGGAGAGGAAAATCTTGTGGCCTCTTATGCCCTGTCATATACCACAGTACATTTTCTCCCTTGTCTTTTTGTCAACACTGCTTTTTCCTAACCATGGATATTGATTACTCAGACCTTAATTTCCCAATTTTTCCTTTCTTGCTGTTCCTAGTTAATTATCTTACATAAAACTATGCCTCATATCTCCTACCACGCCTTGAAGAAGATGATCAGGCTACTGGCAGATGGAAATATCTCAATAAGACACAAATAGTAGAGATACAACATAGATAAATCTAGATCACAACAGTAATTCTGAAACTGAAAATTGTGAAATATGCAACTATCAGACAATGACCACAATTTTTCCAAAGTAAATTAAAATTATTATCTAGAGCTCCTTTAGACTTCAAATATATAAAAATAAAATTTGTAAATTTTCTAAGGAAAAAAATGCTAAATATTGAAGGCATATAACCAGTGGAAAACTTTCCAAGTTCTACCAAGACCACAACTTTTGCTGAACTCTATTCATCAGAAGGTATTTCAATAACATTGAAAGAGAATGTAGTAACTCTATAACACCATGTGATTTATGGGTGCAACATGTATTTTTACAAAAACAAAACCTATTTAAATAACAGACTGTTAGAACAGTGCAACAGGACTCTCGCATTCAACATCTGTGGAAAAGAACATGCATCTTACACCCGCACTGCTGTGCTTGAGCACACTTATCCCCTCTACAGTCACCATTTCTATCTTTCCCTTAGTGTTAAATACATAGTTTTATTTTGTGTATCCATAGCGAATTTCATTTTCCAACTTATTGGTGTGCTTCTCCCATTTGCTAGATTAAGTAACTTTAACAGCCTGGTTACCTTTCAGTTCAATGAAGAATATAAATTTGACATAGTCTCTATTAGGCAGTGAATATTTTGGAGAAGAAACTCAATTTTTTTCTTATGCATAACCTCATGTCTTATAACCTACATAATTTTCTAAGACCTTTCTCTTGCTTCACTCATCTTTACTGCCACTACACAACATGAACAAAGGCTCCTTCTCAGAGCGAATCAGCTAATGTTCAAGGTCCCTTTCAACCTAGACATTTCTATGATTCAAAACACAGAAATCTTGCACAATATTTCAAGAGGTAATTATTAATATTAGTATCTTGATAAACCATAGAATTTGGCCTGGAATCGTATTTCTGTATATTAAAGACTGTTTATTGTATTTCAGTATATTGAGAACTTTGTTTCAGTATGTTACAGTCTCTGAAGCCTTTTTTGTGTTGTGACACTTTTTCTATAGCTGATACTTCTTTCCAGAAGGACTCAATGACTTTTTACAAGATGTTCTTTTCAAATATGCTCTGTAATGAAGACTTGATTCATTATTAAAAAAAAGTCACAATCGTGAAAAGCAATTTTGAATATAAACAGTAATCTGTTCTTACAAGTCAGAACTGAAGTATACAAACACTGCTGTAGTGACAAATAAGTAAGAACCTCTGAAGCACTGATACTAGCCTTCATTTTAGGAAATACTAGAATTTAAATTAAAGGAAAACTTAAAATGCTTCAGCTACGCTTCAGATGACTTACATACTATGCTTATAATTGGTACTTATCAAACAAAAGCAAGATAATGATTCTAAAGATTATATGGATTCCAATTCGTATTAAAGCTGGTGTATCAACAACGGGGTTGTAAAATTTTCTTTTTTTTTTTTAGTGGATTGAATGAGTCATCTTATTGGTAAAAGAACCACATCTTGTTTCCAGCTTACTTGTGTCATTTGAACCCTAGCTGTTCCTCATGGCATTCTAAGGGACCAAAGTGCTACTTTAGTCCAGTCCCGAACTTGCACTGACCAGCCAAACAGAACGTAAACATCAGACTTCTACCTCCCAGTAAAAGTCATCTTTCATCTAGCCAGCCATGTGCTTTCACAAAATTTTTAAGAACCAAATACTTTTTGATATCTACCCCTCTTTAAAATACAGCTGAAACCTGTGAGTGAACTCAAAAATCAGTAGAAATTACTACATCACAGACTAACGGACAGCATGATTGTTTTAAGTGCCATTTCCTTCAGAAACCAGGCCAAAAGAATATTCATTTCAGACCCTGTACTGGAGTCTCTGTGGAAAAAAAATAAAAATCAGTGTGCTGATGAAAAAAGAAAAGGAATTCTTGCAGAAAAAGGTAACTGGAAAATATACCATGTCCATCTATTCAACAATTTATAATATATAGAATACATTGTTTTCAGTCAATTATAATCCAAGATTTCTTTTTGTATTTATGCTAACAACATAACAAGGGAGTGAATTTCTACTGTTTATATCTCGATCACTCAATAATCTGGAGGTCTAATGCAGAATCAAACAAGCAAATAATTATTCAGATCAGTTCACCCTAAGTTTAACGAATGGTTTTCATTTTCTGAAAGAAAGAAGTTTATTCTCCTTCAAGAACACCAAATCTATTTTATTTCCCACCACCGGTTTCAAAAAATTGTTCAGTATTTTAAGTTAGTTCCACAGTAGAAAAGTGTGCACCGAGTATAAAATTCCTATACCCAACTTATACACTTCATATTAATATTAACCACAAAGTTGTCTTTATTTTTTTAATTAATATTTACCTCTAAGATAACTAAATCTTGATGCTTAATCTTTTTCCACACACAAAAAAAAGTTTCCTTAATGTTAGTGAATCAATGTGCAACGAAATATTATCCTTCCGTGAGGAAAATATATACATGAAAGATGCTGGAGCCTTTCCATTTCCTCCCAATTTTCATCACCAATATAGCTGTACACCTGAATAAGAACAACTGTAGAAGGAATAATTAAAAGCCACTGGAAACTTAAGATCTGAAATCCTTCTGGAGGGATTTAATTTAATAATATAATATTTTAAAATATCCTGTTCATGATTTATTTTATAAACACAAAAGTCTAAAATCTGTACTTACTTCAACATGTGTAAATAACGTTTGTTCAATGTTATCACTGTTTTTCTCCTTGAGATCTGGTGGGATGTTTCTATTTCTTACTTGGAAGTGTGTTTTACTAAGGTAACCATCACCAAGGTCCTGTGTTCAGAGAACAAGAAAAAAAATTTCTGTAACCAAAATGCTAAATGCTATCACTGTTCTAGAAAATAAACAGAACGTGGTATTTAGGCATAAGCTCGAAGTCTTTTTATAGGCACCGATGACTGCACTGCTTTTCAGCATCTTCTCACAGGTAGTTTACACTAATTCTTGGTGTTAAAGGAAGTCAAAGACCTGAACAGTAAAAATAAAATTTAATATAGCTATTAATTGAATAAGACAACTGCTACTTGGGGATCAGGATGAGTGCCAAAGAACTGGAAGACAGTGCACTAAGGTCATGAAGAGATGAGCAGCTGTTAACGATTTTGACCTATCTATCTCAAGCAATGCATTCACACCAGTATAAACTTTCCACTTCTTAGTAGATTGGTTTATTTTTGCTCTGTTCCCCCTCTAACTTTCTTTAAGTCCTGAAAAAAAAAACCCAAACCACTTCAGAACTTGTGTGCAGAGTCACAATTTGCTCCCTCTGAGGGTCAAATGTAAGAGAAAACAGACAAAGCTGTACCTTCTCCCAGTTCCCCTTTTATCATTCTGCTTCCCAGGCCACATGGTCTACTGTTGTAAAAGGCCCTTGTGCAATTTCAGAGTGGCAGGAGAAGGTTTTAGGAGCTTTCGCCCCTTGCTGACCTGACTCATCTGCACACATATATAAACATATATTTTTTTTAATTAGAAGTAAGAGGAGAGAAGTTCAGTAACAGATCACTGGAAAAATGTACACTCTGAAAGGGAGGAAGAGTATGCAGAACACAAAGAATAGTAGTTGCAAGTTAAGAATTTATTTCTCAAAGGAAACAAACTGGGGTTTTATTAGCTGTTTCATTACATTTTATTTTAGACAAACACAGAAAGCATACGCGCAACATTTGAATAGAATCCTTTTTCATCAGAACAGTCTCTCTACAAAATTCATTAATGTAGCATTAAATTGCTTGACAAGGCTGCAAATTTAACAATAATTTAACTCTTTAGTAAATCTGTCATTGCTGACACAGTTTATTTCATGTATTCTGACCTTTAAATCAACACGGGTTTTATTCTGACACACCAGCTCTCTCTTTTCAAGGACACTGTAGAATATATGTACCTGCAAGATCTGCTATGGGCTATTTGTTTACTTTGTTCTTATTGAGTTTCACACCTGATAAAAAATGGTAATGCTCTCTACGTGTGTTTTTGTCCACAAATTTTTAAGCATGAATCATACTATGAGCAATTACCGTGCTCGTAACTTCCCCTACTGCATGCCTTATTTTCTCACTAAATCTCATCAAGAGCATGAATCCGCCAAACTTTGCAGGATATCCTGGCTGCAGAACCAACTGCATCCTGTGCAATGAAGAATGAAGCACGCAGAGGACAAGTGACAGAAAAATTAAGCCTAACTAGGTGATACAAAAGCCACTTCTCTCACTCTTAACACTCAAGTCTCTCCTTGTGGAGCTTCTTGCGAGTGTCAGCAGGAGTAAAGCTACCTGCATTGGTATTTATCCCCCTAAGAGCAGCAAAGAAAGTACTACAGCCACCCACAGAGGTAAAATGCCCCAAGGCACAATGAGCTTCGCCAGAGAAGGGTTGGGTATAGCATTCACCTCCCTGAACCAGTTCTTTCTGTCAGCAGAAAGGAGCCAAGCTCCATAGCCTTTGCATTCTGTAGCATTTGAGTGCCATGAAAAAACATCTATGGATAGCAGGAAACATGGAGTTAGAAGTCTCTGTATTTGATAGCTGTATGTCAGAGGCTAGAGGAGAGGTGGCAGGAAAGAGAAGCAACCCTCCTGTTGCACTCTCTGTAGTGTTTATGTATTTTGTACACTTCTGCCCCTATAAATAACTTCATATTTCAGCAAGGACTTTGATCCCATTATGTGGAAAGGGAGTCAATTTCTACTCCAGCTGTCTTGTGAGTATCATAAGCAACAGTGAACTGATATAGCCTTTGATATGATTACCTAGATTAACCTAACTAAATATGAAACAAACATAAGGCAGAAAGCAAACGGGGGGCAGCCTTCACGGCCAGGATCTAACTACCCATCCCTAACAACAGCACCCAAGTTCAGCTCCATCAGGTCCTACAGTAGAGGTGCTCTTGGCTTTTTTACAGCTTTCTTCTGGGAAAAAAAAGCAGATTATAAAAATAACATAGTTTAGAACATTTTACTTATAGCTATAAATACAGGGTTCTGCTTGAGCCATGTGAGCTTATGCCACAAGAGTCAGCTCCACAAAAACAATGAGTATTTCATCATCTAAATTTAATCTCTACAGAAAACATAGGAACACAAGAACACAGTTCTACAAGCCTGGTCTACTTGTGTGGTCTTATTGCTATCAATGGGTCTATTCACGTGAGTATGGAATGAGGAATGGGATCCAAGTACATTACATCAGCAAAATTAAGAGTGTCCCAAACTACCCACAAGACATATATTGGTAAAAAAAGCAAAAAGACAATGAGACATCTTGTTAACGAAAAGCTTCCTTCCCAGACTATATACTATAAATGGATGGTCTCAATGGCCAGGTTTTTATCACACACTGAAATCACAGAGTCGCCAACTTGGCCCATTAAAAAAAAAAACTCTTACAATTTTTTTATACATGAAAACAAAAATCTATCTCATTCTGCTATTTCCAGCAAAGCTTCTTATTTCACAGAAAGTTCAAACTTTGACCCATGTGTTAAACTCCCAATAGAGGCTCAGAGTATCTTTCTTTGTTGAATAAATCCTCGCAAATATAGCCTTGGACTGAAATCTAAAGTTTCAAATGGTGGTCTGTAAGAAAGGGTGCATTGTAACACTTGGCTAGTATTTGCACTCTTTTAAAAACTTCTAAATGGACTCCATCTAAGGCCAAGATCCTGTTTCTTACTGAAATTCTGCTTCATCTGTGATGAAAGGGTGACAAATGCTAATGTATAATTACTTATATAGAAACGATGGCATACATTTATTCCGGGACTTCTTGCATTTCAAAATGGTACAAGCATGACTTTTCTCCCAAAAATTCATGAAAGCATGGGAAACCACTAAAGCCATTAAAGTAAAAATAAAATAAAATAAAATAAAATAAGCTAGAGAAGTACATTTTCTACAGCAGAAAGAAATACACAGATAATAATGAGCATCCCAAACCATCCATTATTGAAAACCGGTCAGAGAAGCAAGAGAACATATGAAAACCTACATTGCCCACCCATCAAAAAAAGTGTGGCTAAAAGAAATCCTAGAACAATAGGATTTTTATCCTGTGGATTTATTATTAGATGGAAAATAACAGAAGCATTCAAAGTAGAAAAAGCAAGTATTCAAAATATTTGTTGTTATAGAACAAATACAAATTATGTAGCCATAAGGCATAACTATTATGAAGTTTTCATTTCAGCAGCGGCTAAGCAGGACATTAGCATGAAGTGGTTATCATTAGGAATTTTTAAATCACTACATAAGAACTGCCCATTTTCTTTAAGTCTTCGAGCACTGTGGAAGTTTCAGAGAACTTTGGAGAAAGCCAGCATATATCAATACATCTTTACATACTGGCTAATTTGTGTAACTATCCACATATTAGCTTGACATCATCTCAAGCAAAATAACAGAAGACATCATATATCAGTATGTATATGAATTCAGTAAATAAAGAAATATATACAGTAAATGGAGGATCTTTTTAAGAAAAATAGATTTTGTCATGGTAACTTAAAAAGACACGTTTGGTTGACAAACACAAAAGTCATAACGATATATGCTCAGATTTGCATAAGTCTGCGTAAGTGTCGATTCCACAAGCGGAAATTAAAAAATTAAAATAATCCCACACTAATCTGACACAGACTAAAGGATGAAAAAATGATTAATTCACAGATCTCAAATGTAACTTAAAAACGGGGAATCCTCATAAAAGAAGTGATTCTAATGGGGTCCTGTGAGACCAGTCTTGGCCCCACGCTACTTAAAATTTTGATTAATGACCTAGAAACAATATGTAATTATTATTGGTGAGGTTTGAAAGTTATAGGGAAGCAGCAAATAATGGGAATTGATCATTAATACAGACAGATTCTTCTGCTTGCTATACACAACTAACATGTATTTTAATACAAAATATTAAGTCACACATCTAGAACAAAGACTATGTGCTATTTCAGCTTAAAGGGTAAAAGTGCTCCTTGTACATATAACCATAAGCACTTGCCCGGAGTGGGAAGGCTTGAATTTCACAGTGATACAACATTCATTGTCTACTTTTGCTCACAGTCAAAAAAAGGATTTTTATATACTGGAAAGGATTAAGAGGAGATCCACAAGAATTATTAAAATATTGGAAAACACATCAAACAGTCAGGGAGCTCAACATGTTTTGCTTTTACACCAACAAGGTTAAGGGATTAATTGATCTGAATCTGAAGTACCAAACCAGGGAGAATTCTGATAAAAGAAGGGTCCTCACCTTAGTAGACCAGGTACAGCTACCAATGGCTGGAAGATTAAGCTAGGCAGTTAAGATTAAAAGTAACAGCTTTTTTTTTTTTTTTTAAATTCAATTGTAAGCACAGTCAACCATTCAAAAGGCTTGTTGAGAGCTGTCACTGCTTCCCCATCCTTCTGAAATGGGGAAATTCAGGGAATTCTGAAAATGAAGACTGCACAATGCCTTAAAAAACATTTTCTGATCAAAACAGAAAACATCTCAGGTCATCCTACCCCTTTGTTACACAACAAGTTGCACTAGACCATCGCAGCAGTTGTTTCTGGATTCATGAACCTTATTCAATAGATGTACTGGCCTAAATCCTCAGGCAAGCCGCCTATGCACTATTTTGTTCTTGCACCAGCTGTGTAAAATACCATTTATTTCACGTGATGTAAACCCCCCTTAAAGGATGTTCCAGCTTGTGGTGGTTGTCAACAGCTCAAGAAGGCCAGTGAGGGTATCTAAAAATCAACACTATGATTATTTTTACCTTGCTAGTTCTCCACTCCCAACCATCTCCTATCTGCTGTGAATGTTTAATAAATTCTTCACAGTACTGCTTGAATCTTTTTTCTTCCAAAAAGAAGTCCTCTTCACCTGCCATGCTACAGGACATCTGCAGAGCAAACTAAATGTTAGTACTGACAGATAAAATGAACACTAAAATCTTCCACTGATTAATAGCAATTGAATAGTAAAATAACAAAGCACTGGGAAAAAAAACTGTTTCTTTAAGTAAAACAAAGACACGTTTCTTCAAGTACCTTAGAGAATCATAGATACACAGAACGGCTGAGGTTGGAAGAGACCTCTGAAGACTGTTTAGTCCAATCCCCTCGCTCACAGTAGGGTCAACTAGAGCAGGTTGCTCAGGATCACTTCCAGTCAGGTTTTGATTATCTCCAAGGATGGAGATGCCACAACCTCTCCGGGCAACCTGTTCCAGTGTTCAATTACCACAGCAGTAAATAATTTTTCTTTTGTTTAAATGAAAAATTTTATGTATCAGTTTGTGCTCATTGCCTCTTGTGCTTTCACTGCATAGCACAGAAAAAAGTCTGGCTCCATCCTCTTTATTCCCGCCCATCAGGCATTTATACACATTTGTAAGATCCCACCAACCCTTCCCTTCTCCAGGCTGAAGAGTCCCAGCTCTTTCAACCTTGCTTCATAGGTCAGACACCCTTAACCATCTTTGTGTCCCTTCACTGGACTTGCTCCAGTATGGCGTTGTCTTTCTTGTACCGGGGAGCCCAGAGCTGGACACAGTACTGCAGTTTTGACACACGCTTCCTTAGCAGCATGGTCCAACCGGCAACCAGAAACCTGAATCCACTCGTGGGCTATTTCCATGGGCCTACCACCATTTCCTTGGGGAACTGAATGGCTCCACAAAAGCTTAACAACTCCAGTGTTTGTGGACACAGAGCCTACATGATGGCCACCAGAGTCCAGCTGAAGCAACTGTTCCTGCTCATGCCAGCAGTACAGTTCTCAATGGCCCAACAATGTCGCCTCAGGGGGTTACAGTGTACTTCAAATGAGTACCTTCCCTACCCCTCGAATGCTTCCCTCCCAGGGTCTTAAAGATAACAGAAAAACTCTCTCAGAGAATCTGGCCAGTTTTACTTTTTCCCCCTTTTCAAAGAGGATGTATCATAAATACGGCTGTTTCTGATGGATGTTTATAGACATCAGGCATCACTGCAGCACCACATACAAATACTCAGTAACTGTTACAACCAGACCACACCTTTCCTTAACAAGAAATACAAAGGACACAGCACTTCATGCAACATTCAGGATCTGGCCCTAAAGCACAACATCATCCTGCCTGCCCATGACATAAATTATTTATCTAGCACTTGAAAATATGGTTTTTTTCAATGGTAGTTAACCCAAGCCCCCATTAATCTGTTCGTGCTACCTGGATGTCAATAAAGAGGAAATGTGGAAAACAGACATTGTAACGGTTTCTTTGATTCCCGAATTTCCCAGTCCAGATGATGGACTGCAAAACTGCGCTAAGTGCACGTACTGACAGCGTAGCTCGCACATACGATTTAAACGGAGCTATGTGTTTTAGGAAATTAGCAGCTGTACAGAGGCTGCTGGCACCTGTGCAGCACGCCTCCCCTCCTTTCTTAAACTACCCCGAAAAGAGCGACGAGCAGACCCCAACAAACCCGTCCCGCTCGGCCACGGGCCCCGCCGGCACCAGGCAAGCCCCCGGCACCA